ACTTGTATGGCTGTGAGGACCAGCTTGCCGTTTTGACCTTGAGCTTGCAGGACATTTTTACAAAGTGGGAACAGTTTGTCTGATAATCACTTCTTCCAATTGTTATTTTGGTGTCAAGTCTTGGATTTAGTTTCAAATTTGAGGTTAAACGTGAAAGCAACAGTCAAGTTTGTGGTCTGGAGCTGAGGAACGCACACTACACATTGTGTGTGTGCGTGCGTGTGTGTGTGTGTTACCACAGCATCGTCGCATCTCCATCTATAGCTTCAGCTCCCACATGCTCACATATTAATGCTGGACCTGCTGAGAATGTGTGTACATAATGAATTCCTTTCCTGCCTAATAGAGTATTATCATAATGAAACATGATCATACAGACTAAACTCAGTCCACATGCATGTGTGAGTGTGTGTTTGTGTGTACTTTTATCTTTGTGTGGACCATTCTGAGCCTGGACCTGGTGTCCTGGTGAGGACATTGTGGTTTCCCCTCATGGTTGGTTAGTATGAGGTCAGTGTTGGGGTCGGGCATGTATGCTACATCCACACTTCTCTGTTTGGGTTTGAAAACGCAACACCTTTGCCACAGATGTGCCCGACTTTGATCTTTCTAGGGGAGTTTTGAAACACAGCAGTTTGGTGTCGACGAGCACGATCACAGATGTTTGGAAACAATGATGGAGACACTCGCAGCTGTTTCCCAATTGGGTCTTCTCAGTCACGACTTCAATCATCAGGCGCCTATCAAGTGACCCCATCACAAGCCTTGGCTGCCAGTGGACGAATGAAAAGTGTTGTTGACCCTGTCGTCTACAGCTGTAGTGCAGTTACATTCTTGAGTTTGCAATGATGCAACTGCTCACATGTGTGAAGCTGTTATTCGAGGAATCTGCGCGTTAACGCCTACACGCACTTGCCCAGGAAACATTAGCGGTCATATGATATTCATGTTAGTGTAGAAAAGGATTAAGACTAATGCTTGTGTGGACAGAGATTGTTTTAGTTTGAAAACACCATTTTTAAACTAGTATGGATGTTGCCTGTGTGTGTTTGGGCACATTGTCTGCAGAGGAATTTACAGTACATTCCCTCTCTCTGTGTTGCCTATCCCCCCCCTTACTTCTCCACATTCTTTACAACTCTGTTCATTTTCTTTCCTCTCCTTCTTTATCTGTGAAACTCCTTTTTTATCTGTGACTTCTCTCGTTGATTTCCAGTGCTATCACCAGTCTTGTAGTGACCTTATGTACCCTCCGTAACGCTCTTCACATCCTCCCTCTCCAGGCTGTTTTGTGATCTGCTGGACGCCCGGTCTGGTTGTGCTGCTGCTCGACGGCGTGGGCTGCGATCGGTGTCAGGTGCTGCGCTACGAGAAGTACTTCCTGGTGCTGGCCGAGTGCAACTCCTTCGTCAATCCCATCATCTACTGCTTCAGGGACAGAGACATGCGGAGGACCTTTAAGGAGATCCTGTGCTTCCTGTGTCGGCGTGGCGGAAACCAAAAGGACATCTCTGGAACTCACTTTAACACCCTGGACCATGAGGTACTGTCTGAGAGCAACGGAGTCGAGGACAGTAGTCACAAACAAAGGGACTGTAAATAATAAACCCTTGAAACCACTCTGACTGTAGACAGAGGTTATCCATTTACACATACAGTGACTGTGACAACCACACAGTTTGAATGACGCAACAGCCAGGCAGACTTAACAACTTAACATTCTGTTTAAATGTGTAAAGCAAAAAATATATTATTATAATATCATCAGATTAATGAAAAAAAAAAGTGAAACCGTCAAGGTGCAAATCAGATTTTGGAAACAGATTTAACATTTTTCTAAAGTTCAGTTCCAGTTGGTTTATTTAATATTGTTGCAATGAGAAGTTGGTAGAGACCAAAAACTAAGATAAAAGACATCACTTCTTATTTGGTACAAAGTAGATTGTAAATAAGCAGCTGTTTGCTGATAAGTTCATCATATCAGCGGAAAGGTTGAAGATTCAAAACTTGTTTTTGCTTCACGAGACGTTAGAAGAGTCACTTATTGTATAGTTTAAAGAAAACGACCTCATCGGAGGCTGATTTCCTTCCGTCTTTTTATTGTCTGGTGGAGTTTTTCATTCATTCCTACGTTGCAGTACTCAGCAATTTTTTTGCTGATGAAAATTCAACCGCATTTAGGTGATAAAACTCAGTTCAAACTGAAAGTTCCTCTTTTTTCGTTAACGCATCACAAATATCAAAAAAACTTTCCCCTGGTAATATAACAATTAACAAGCTGATCCACTGTGGACAAAATATTACAGGCCAGTGTAGTGATTTATTGTTTGAAAGTGTCTGGTTTGTATATTATAGTCAAACTGTAAAGTCGTTACAGGTAAGATGTTGTTTTTCATTTTCATGCTTGAGCAAATATAAAGCAACGCCCCTTCTGCTTTTTTTCTTCTCTGTGGGCGTACGGCTTTTCCAAGAGTAACACAATGATCAATACAAAACCTCTAACTAATGCCCTGCAGTGTCACTGTGTTGCACATGTAAGCTCGCCTGCAGTTTGACAGTGCTGTCTGGAGAACGAACACATGAGCTGCACAGTGCTCCGCAAACATCCTGCAACATTCATTAATTCATAATTAATGCAGAGGCAGAGAACACACAGTATGACCGTTTGCAGATGTGAACTCCAGAGAATCTCCCGCTATGTTCTCACTCCGACATTATCCAGAGCTTTCATTCTGGATAATATGAGGATGTCTGCAGTTCTCACGCACAGCTCCTCTGGATGACTTCAGGACATTATCTGGAGTTCGGTGCATGTCTGACAGCAGCGTATGCAGCTCTTAAAGAGTTCTCAAATACCGCAAAGAAAACATTTTTAATAGTTGATTAACAGTCATAACTAGAATGACGCCTTTGGAGAGCGCATATTTTCTATTGTTCTATCTCGCCACGAATATTAAGTTGTAATCCTTAGTCAGACAGCAATGAAATCATAACCTACTTAGCGGAGTTAAGGAATTACATGATGATATGTGGAGAGTAGGTAAGACTGCAGTGTCTCAGTTCCAGTCACGCACACAGCTGTGGGAGAGAGAAATTATCTCAGCATTATACATCAGCTCCGAGCGCTGGATGGGACATTGTGGACCAGTTAGTTATGTTTTTGTTGAGAAACCAAACCTCTTCACAGAACAAAGGTATTGATGTGTTTGCTTTGGTTCAAATGAGGACACACTACTAACGTCTCTTACTCAGTCGTGGTCATACAAGGTGCTCATGTGACCTTGTGGTCTCTCCACCTCTTCTGCTCTACAGAGCAGAATGCTGCAATAAGCCACAGCTTCAGCCACTAGCTGGAGTTTGTCATTTTCCCATCACTCACCACGGCTGCTCCCTGCTTCGGAATAATTTATCCCACAAAATGAAAGTTGTGTGTGCAAATCGTCCTTGTTTGCCCTTGTTTGTGCTCCCATCCAGAACCGAGGCACGAATGTAACTTGAATGACCGCATACCTCCGTCAAGGCCCAACAGTCAGCTCGCATTCAGTCGAGCTGCACCACATTTCAGTTTCCTGTTCTCTGCAAATAGATTATATGTGTGATTTTCAAAACCTGTAGGTGAGAGACAACACTCAGCAGTCTTCTGGTTATTGTTTCTAGTTTGACCAGTCAGCAGGCTTTGGTCGCCCGCAAGTAAACAGTCCGTGTGAAGAAAAGAGAGGAGGAACACACCAGTTTTTAGTTAACTGTTTCTGTCTTGTCCCATCCTCCCTCTAAGGTTTGTGGAAATTGGCTTGTGGTTGTGTTTGCGTAGTCCTGCCGACAACAAACGGACTGGGGTCGGAGGTGAACATGGGGTTGTGTGTGTGCAGAGCGTCGTTTGTGCTCGACTATGGATTCCACACACGCATTATGTACGTTCATTCAGGCAGGATGTCTTGTGTTTATCAGAACACAGAGCGGCTTCGTCTCTATCAAACTCAGATCTCATAAAACGAGGCCTTAATCACTCACACTGCCTCGTTCTACAAACAGGTTTCATTCCTTTTGCCTCATGCAGTCGTTTACACAGGATTTTAAGACTAAGCGCTGGATTTGTGGATTCTCTCTGCTGCAGTTTGCTAATGTGCATGTGTGTGTTCGAGTTGTACAGTGTTTTAAACCGGTCCAGATGTGCGCTGGTGTTTAGAGTGGGTCGTGCTCCTTGCCACATTTCCTCTGACTTGTTGCTCTGGCATGTGTGTTTGTTGGAGACACACACACGCGCGCACACATGTAGCATGTTACTGCTGCCAACAGGAAGAGCAGTCATGTGCAGTGTGTGGGTTTTGTGTGTTCACATTTATGTTTGAAGACGTTTTATTTTTTATTGTCAGAGAAGAGTGGGGGGAAAAAAAGCTTTTAAACACATTTATGAATAATTTCAGATTAATAACTCTTAAGTGCTCTGGAGGGGAATCTCATTACAAGAAGCTTTTATAGGGAAAGCACTGTATTCGTAGAACTATATTCTTTATTCAGATAAGTCATCATGTGGATACTTACTTTCATATTATAACTTTAACTGTTCGTATTGTTTGTACAGTTCAGGAACATTTTCACATTATCCCGGGTTTATTTTTGTACAACCATTGTTAAAACTCGTATGAATAAATGCTTAAATCTGCCAACAGCTGTGACGTGTCTGGTCGTGTGTGTCCGCTGCTTTTGTATCTTTTTGCCACTAACAACTCAACTAACCCATTTTCTCTTCTTTCTTTCTTTCTTTCTTTTCCATTTCATGTTCCTCTCTGCTGCTGCACCTTGGACTCATTCCAACCTCACTCTCTCCATCTGTCTCCCCACCTCTTGTCTGTAGACCTATAAGTCTCGTTCTGAGATGCCGATACAGAGGAGCAACGGGACGCCTCTCATCCACGGAGGCTCGGAAGACGCACCTGCCTCCTCGGACAACTGAGGAGTTAAACTTAAACAACGAGGAACTTTCAGCAGAGAGAGAGAGGATGTGTACCAGCAAATCTGCAGATCTGTGTGTGCTCACATAAACAAACCTTGAAGTCTGTTCCTCCTCAGTCGACAGGCTGTTTATTCTGTATGTTGGATCTTTACGTCTGCTGCTGACGGAGAAGATTCATTTAGTTAATGTCTTTTGTTAAAGACAAACCTTATCAGCTTCTAATATCAGATGTTCGTGGCTCATTTGTGACGCATTGATTTGAGGAGGCGAAGGCCCCCTGTTGCCGAAGCTTTTACACGAAGACATTTCCTGTTTGGACGTAAATAACCTGCCAGTCCCGTCCCCCCCGTCCCCCCCGTCCCCCCGACTGTATGGTGGTTGAAGAGGCAGCTAACCAAATGGAACATGTCTGCAACGGAAGAGACTGTCTCACAGCAGAAGAATGTGCAGTTACAAGGCCAGCTGCAGGCGGTGTCATGTTTAATGTCAGTTACCAGTTTATTAGGTACACCTGACTAAAACTAATGCAGTCCTGTCCCAGCGCTGGCGACACCCGGTGGTTGGAGTTATGTTTTCCGTTCGACCGTCCAAGTCTTGTGAACATGATGTTTCGAGTCCGCCTTGAGGGAATTTTTTCAAATTTGGTACAAACGTTCAGTTGGACTCAATGATGAACTGATTAGATGTTGGTGGTCAAAGGTGAAGATCACTGTGACCTCACAAAACATTTTTCTTTTTGCCCTGTGAACGCAAAATCGTAACAAAGCCTTGAGAGAATCCTGTCAAATTTGATGTAAATGTTCACGTGGACTCACAGAACCACTGATTAGGTCTGGATGCTCAAAGGACAAAGATCAAGGTCACGTCGCCTCACCAAAACAATTTTTTGGCGAGGGACTTTCTTCAAATCATCACCCAAAGAGGAAATGATAAACTTCCAGTGGTGGAAGTTTTACGATGACCTCACATCATTGTGAATGTGATGTGTCATGGAACAGCTGGAGCTGCACTGGTTGGCCGAGACAACACAACCAAATCATTTCAGTGGTAAATATTTTTAAGTAATGTTGATTCGTCTTTACCATAATTTTGGAGGCTGTAGTTTGTGGTGCTGCGTTCCACAGGGAGGTGTTTGGTATTTATCCTGTCCTCGTTGATTTGAATAGAGTGGACAAAATGATAGAAATCCCGCTGCAGTATAATGCAATAAATGAACTGCAAATCTCCAAAACGATTACACGATTATAAAGTTATTATAAACAGAATCTGAGCTTTATAACCTTCGTGCAGGAGGATTTATTTGTTGGTGTGTATAGAATCACCGGAAATCAGATTTTTAGGTTTCATGTGCACAAAGTCACCGAGGCTCATACTAGAGACACTCTGCATATACACAGAACTTTTATAAAGGGGATTTTATAAAGGGCGTTAACAGATGGGTTTGTTAAAAGTTGATTGAATCCTTGACTCCATGGATTACTCATAGTGTATTATCAAGACCATGTGGGTTGCCAGGTTGTGAAGGTTGTGAAACTCGCTCAGTGTTTTTAACCAAACCTCTGACATTCTGCATGAAAACCCCGTCTTAACAAAACCCTTGAGTCCAAGACGTTTTTTTAAAGAACATAATATTTACTGCTGCTCTTGTTTTAATCTAAAATATATTCCATGTTTACAAACTTTAATTATCAATAGTGGCATTAATTTATTACACAGATTGTATTATTTAAATTGAAGACGTCTTGGTTTATTTTATTTAGTTGTATCGGTAAAAAGAAATCAATAAAGAAAGTTATAAAGATGAAAATACAGAGGATTTAGCTACATTTCTCACAACCTGGCAACAAAACATATTCATATTACTGTATAATCACAAATCTAACAGCATAACTCAATGATTTGTCTTTTAAAGTTAAACTTTTCTTTGGTGTCCAGAGCCCTCTCATCATTTCTTCTCTAACAAATTAGATAAATCTTCCTTGTTTTATGATTCTGGCTACATTTTAATTTAAAGAGACGCATCTCCCGATGTTGTCAATGATTTCTTTTAAAATTCTACTTTTGATTTTACTCTGACGGATGAGAATGTGTTTGTGTCATAAAGTTCAGTGGAACCTCTGCAGTTTGACTTTTTGTAGTTTTGCATTTATACACAATGTTTTATAAACTGTTCCAATTTTGTAGTTCAAAGAGTTTTTGCTGTGCGTCCTGTAAATCGTCTCTAAGCTGGAATGACACGATATGCCTCCGTCAAATGTTTGTGATGTCAAAACTTTATTTATGCTCATTTTGTGGATATTTCCTGCACTTAAACAGATTAATACCTTAAAGGAAAAACAATATTTTAAAGTTTTCATCATTTACCAGCTACAATCATTTCTTTCTGTTATGTACGACAGTAAACAGCCGAGATTTGACGCTTCACGTTTAAATGTGGTGCAGCTGATTAATACATGTCTGTGCAAACTGACATCCAGCTGTTGATGTTGTCAGTTTCCTTTGTCATAGACTGTTTATAAAGATGGACGACGCCTCGGCACTTCCTCGCTTTCTAGAAAGATCAAGCTAAAAATATCCCTGATACGAGTGCCGCCATCTTGCAATTTTTTACCAAATTTAGTTTTTTTAAAGCGTCAACTAATCATCCACTAACATGGAGGAGAAGGGGTTGATGACGGATACTGCTACCAGCCACAAGGGGGCGATCAAAATGATTTGGCTTCACTTTTGAGCACCCATCATGTCGTCCATCTTTATTTACAGCCTTTGGTCTCACGCTCCACCGTGACCGCCCGACAGTGACGTCATTAAAAACGTTGAATGCCTCTGACTCTCCTGTCGTCTTTTTTACTGACGTCTTTTCTTTCATCTCCAAACAAAAGTCTTTTTTGTCTAGATTGTCCTTTTGCTTTGATTCCTGTTAAATGAATGGATCTCGTGAAATCTTGAAGTTTCTTCTAGATGCTTTTTGACTATTTCTTCTCCTTTGTCTTCAACTTCACAGATGGAGAAACATCTTTTTGAGTCCTGTGCTCTTTCTTTTGTTCCTGGAGAAATGTCTTTTTTAACTGCTCTCCTACTTTTCCGAGCCCTCCTCCGTTCCTCTCCTCCTTCGTCTGACTCTTTGTCTTCCTCATGTTACCCAGAGAAAAACTTTTCTTCGGCTCTTTCTTGTCTGTTGGCAGCGAGAATCTCCTCTGGGAAGACTTTTGCTTCTTCAGGTTATCCAAGTTCAGTTTGTCCAGGGACTGAAAACTCTTCTTGCGTTTCTTATCGGGTAGCGCCCCCTTCAGGTCACTCCAGGCTTTTTGCAGAGGTGATTTCTTTTTCTTTTTCCAGACAGAGGTTGTTTTAGAGGAGGATCCACCCATCGTCAGCTGACCTGGAACAAGAGGAATAAACACGTGATCGACGCTTAACATGAAGGGTTAGAATTTTCTAAAGAAAGTAAACAAATGTTTAATGCGAAAATTACTTTAATTAATAATGATAATTTCAAATTCTTCCTTTATTAATGATTAAATGACTAATAATTATTAGAAGTTTAAAGTTGAGGTTATTTTATAAACTTTAGTGTTTATGAATTCATTCAATTATTATATTTGTTTTAATTGCAGAACCTGAAATAAACCAAACGTTTGAAAGAAATCAAAGTCAACTTTATTTAAATTGTAACAATTAGTCTTCATTATTAAGTTAAACATTTTGTCTTGTAAAATTTTAATTAATTTTAGATAAAGGTGATTGATATAAATTCTCATTTAATTTATTATAAACATGAAATCAGACTTAATAACCTGAACAGGTTGTGCTTTCAATTACTTAATATAAAGTTTCACCACATATTTTGGCATTAAAATAAAACTCACACTAATACATTTTATACAATGAGTTACACAAGAGATGACCACACTAACAATAGGAAATGCAATAAATAAAGCATTTTAAATAAAATAAAAAAAGAAAGAGAAGGTTTTAGAATTTGACATTTCTAATACTAATTTAAACCAAGAGTTACCTCCAAAGAAAATTTATAAACTCACAAAGTTATGGTCTGACAGTGAACACAACATGTAGGAACACAAACACACCTTATCTCTTCTCCACGTTCGGCCACAGCAGAACTCAGATGTTTTGACTCCTCAGTGTCGAGCTGGAGTGTAAATATAACTTCTCTTTATAATGTCACGTATCTGATGAACCAGGTCACATCCTCAGTCTGAGCCTGCACCGACTCCAAGAGAAGCCACAGCTGCTGAACACAGGTATTCTACATTTCCTGATTTATCGTCTACTCGTCCACAGAAAGACAATTAACCTGCTCAGTCACATTCTCAGAGACCGAAACTGCTTCCAGCTCCAACAGTGGTTGGCTCTTATAATGCGTATGGACACTTCTGTAAAGGATTGTTGTGGGGTTTTTTTGTTTTAGAGATTATTTTATGACCCTTGAAAGTATCATGAGTGTATTAGAACAGTGGACAAAAGATTATTACAGTAGAAACTGTGGAGGCCTGGAGGGAAACTACTATACAGCCAAACTGGAGGGCACTGTTGGTGCATGTCTATCAACCAGTGCTCCATGTTTCAGCAGTTAGACTCAACCAAATCCAGGGTTTCTTCCAAAGTCACAGTGTTTTTAGTACCTGTCTGTGTTTCACTGTAATTTTCCTGTTGACGTCAGAAACTTCGGATTTCTGAAACTTCTGAGCAAAACCTGCATCAGTGTTTTAATCAGACTTTGAAAATGTGAATCCGTGAAAACATTCAGCTACTTTTATCTTTATTTAAAACAGCTTGTTGTCCCAGAGATCAAGTTTTGTTTCAGTCAGAGCAGAAGAACAAAATTAACTTTAAATACTTGATACTTATAATCATGTATATTTGCAACCTGCAAACATGCAGCATTTACCACTTACAATCATGACAGGAAGCATCAGATACAGTCTTTACGCAACGTTTGATTTATAAATGATTAAAACTGCTCATTTATTTTTTATAATCATAACAGCTATATCTCAAAATCACAATAATTAGAATATAAAACTCTTTAACTTAGCCCGGAACAATCAAGCATTTCATATCATTCTTTTCCAGAGACACTTAACAATAACAATTAAAAGGGGATTCGATTGTTGCAGGAGCTGTTTGGATCAACCTGATGTTTGTACCCACAGTCCTCTGCTGCTACAGCTGTGCCTTGCTCAAGGGCACCTCCGTGTGGGGGAAGTGGGCAGAAACAGTTTATTTCTCCATTTTAAGTTTCTCCTCACTGCAAAAACTATTCACCTTAAACTGAAGGAGGAGTTTTTACCTGAAGTTGTTTCTGCTTTAACTTCAGTGAAGACACACGAGCACTTTTATTTTTTCCGTCACATCCTCGTTTGTCCACGCGTGACGTCTGTGGGGGCGTGGAGCTGACTGACGACGTCAGCGAGGTCATTTATTCTCATTCAGAAATAAAACATTTTACATTTTATTTCCCACTTTGAATGATTTTAACCTTTATTTGTATTTTTCTGTGACTCCGCCTTGTCATCATTAAATTATCTCTGTGCGTCTTCATCACAGGATCCTCCTCCTCCTCCTCTTCCTCCATCATCCCTCCTCCTCCTCCTCCTCCTCACATTTCCCCGGTGCTGCTGCCTCTCCTCCTCCTCCTCCGTGCGCTCCTCTATCCGTGCGCCATGGAGGACTCTCCCGGCGCGATGAAGAGGACCTGCCCGGTGCCGGAGATCAAACCTCTGGACCAGTACGACTTCAGCCGGGCCAAGATCTGCGCCAGTGTCCGGTGGCTGCTGTCGAAGTCGTACGGCTCTGCAGGTACATATTCCCCGGTGTCTGCTCGCATCACAGCCGCTGCTGCCGCCGCCGCTTGGGTGGGGCGCTCAATAATTCATCCACGGAGCTCGGAGCTGGAGGCTTCTCGCTTTTTTTATTCGGGGATGAAACCTCCAGCATCCAACCGCTCCTCATCCATCCTCATCCATGCACCGCTGCCCGGGTGCGCTCGCTCCACCTGCGCGGTCCGTGCAGCGTCATTGTCCCCGCACCGTGAGGACGAGCCTCGGCTAATTACTGACGTGAACCGGCGGCTCGTCCCTCCGGAGGATTCTCCTGATGGTGCGGGACGGATGAGTCTGTCATCACCGCACTGCAACAAAGCCTTTTGTCAGAGCTGCTTCGTCAGGCCTGTGGAGGGATTTTCCATCCAAGCTATAACACACACACAGACACACACACGCACGCACACACACACACACACTCAGAGCATCGTCTCTTTAATCATAACCAACCCACAAAGATGCAGGTTTGCATCCATAGGTCGTGTGTGTGTGTAGACGGGTCAGGGCACACGCAGCATAATATTTGTGTCAGTGTTACGCACGCACGTCGAGCTGCAGCGCGTGGCAGTGAAGTGAAGGTGACGTGTGTGTGAGACAATGGTAGAAACTGCAAATGCATCAAATTCATTCGCCACGTTGCTGCAGGGGTCAGAGGTCAAAGTGAGAAACTGGATTCAAGAGAAGCTGCAGAAGTTTAAATGTCAGTTTATTCTCACTGAGATAATTAACTGTGTGTGTGTGTGTGTGTGTGTGTGTGTGTGTGTGTGTGTGTGTGTGTGGAGAGATTTGAATGTTGTGTCAGACTCTGATTCAGTGTGTGAGTCTTTTTCTTCAGTCTGTGGTTGTGTTGTGTTGTGTTGTGTTGTGTTGTGTTGGGTGACATCACTGCAAACTCCTCCAATCAATGAGTATTATCATTATTGATCATCAGTTTATCATCAGGAGAATCTATGAGGCCTCTTGTATGATATGGAGTGAAGAAAGAGAGGGGGGGGGGGGTGAAGGAAGGAATGAAGAAGAAAGAAGGAAGGAAGGAGATAAGAAAGAAAGGAAGGAAGGAAAGAAAGAAATTAAGACAAAAAGGAAGGAAGGAATAAGAAAGAGGAAAGTAAGAAAGAAAGAAATAGGAAAAGGAGGGTGGAAGGAAGGAAATAGATGATATGATTTTTTCTTATGGTATAAAACAGAAAATCCAGTTTGAGCAGAGATGGATGAATGAATGATGGATGGATGATATATGGATGTGTGGATAGATGGATGGATGGATGGATGAATGAATGATGGATGGATGATGAATGATAGATGATGAAACAGCAGGTCTGTAGGTTCAGGCTCTGCTGACTCACACTGTGATGTCACTGAAACTCCTCAGTAAACTCTCAGTTTATGTAACGATCCACGTCGTCCTCTCGTGTCGTGATGGTTTCAGAGCTTCATGTTGTGTTCGTGTCCGCTGGACGAGTCTGTGACACACGAGGAGAGACGAGCTGGAAACCTCCCCTCAGCAGGGAACCTTCATCGTCTCCATCGCTGTCCGTCCACGGTCGGAGCGGCCGCCTCATAGAATTTTAATGGAAGCACAGAGCGTAAAAAAAAAAGAAGCACTGATTGATTCTTCTTGACATGAGCAGAGGAGGGGCGGCACAGTGGACGAGTGGGTGGCACCTGAAGGTTCCTGGTTTGGCTCAATAGATCACAGACCTCTTAGTCAGGCCGTAGAAAGCTTTGCATGATTGAGTCATATAAAGTGTGTGAGAAGAGTCTGCATCGTCTCTCTGATGCTTTTGAATCCAGCTCGAACGTCAAACACTGATTTCCACCTCAGGATTACGAGGCCTCGTTGTTTTCCTCTGTGAGTGAACTTCAGACTGACGATCGTTTAAAAAGCTTCAGCTTCAGGGTCCCGTGACACTTTATTGACGAACCAGTTCATCAAGAGGCCTAATGGGGAAAGAAACAATCCGTAATGAGACACG